TGTTCTTTCGCATGATACACATGTTTGTTGAAGTAAAACTAATAAATAATTTATTGAATATGCGTGACGAAATAAAAAGAAGATGATTAACTATGAATATTTAATAAAAATATGTTTTCTATTTTAATATATATAGATCGTATACCTGACTATCGTCTTTTTTTACCTATTCGAAATGAAATATTTGATATATTTGATTCTAATTTACATCCAATTGAAACGACTATTCTTCAATTACGAATTGTTGCAAGTAATAAATCAGGTTTACCATTATCAGCTTTTCGTCTTGTTAATGATAAAAATATGGAATTATTTGATCATGTAAGATTATCACAATATGATATAGGTTTGTATTTTTAATAATAAATATATTAGAAAAATTCAAAAGAAAGATTTATTCTCGTAGATTATCGTGCAACATTAACTATACAAACATGGATTGGATGGTCGGATCTTTTTACTTACGCAATAAAAGGTTTTGAATATAAAGTTTATTTTTATTGTGAAACACAATCTAAAAGGAGTGTTGAAGTATAGATGTAGATATTTGGAACATTACTCTCTCTTCCACAGACACGTTGCGAGAGAAATCTTCCAACTATTCAATCACTTGTGAGTTCAAAGTAAATGCTGTGGTCCCCTCTAGAACAAGAGAAAAACTGATTTTCGAATTGAAACTTTGCATAAAGATAGGTCTTAACAAGAATACCTTATTGTGAAAGTTTAAATCGATGTGAAAGTATCACAACACGATGCAGCACCACGATTGCAGTAAATCTTCTATTGATCGTCTTATGGAAACCAATGAAAAATAAGTGTCGAGAGTGCACGTTATCGGTTAGGACACTTTTTGAAGAGAAATAGTAGTTTTCTGAACACATTACAAAGCCACCCCATTCATTTGCCGGAGCATCAAACATATATCAATCGATGCGAAATTTCATCGACTATCTAATGAACATTTTGTTCTCTCGCAGCAAATGAATAGTATCCATGAAAGTTGTCCGAAACTACTTAGAATTCGTCAAAATTTATTACAGCGTCTGTACATTCGTTTGTCGGAACGTAGAACCTACATCAATCGATATAAAGTTTTGAGGACTATCCATTTCAATGGTCATTTTCTCCTTGTAAACGGACGGTTCGTTTGAAAATAGTCACAATCTGACAAGAATATCCAAAAATCCAATACTAAACATCACTAAATTCTTTACAGGGACTCTTCTTTTGTTTACCGGGGAGATACCAATATGCTCATTATATAGCCCGTTAAATTCTGTATCGATTAGCATTCCGTTGATACGCCGGCAAACGAATGGACGTGTTCCTGTAGAGGATTATCAGCAAGTTGCAGTAGGTTTGTTTTTTTTTCATAGAAACGATTGATTTAGTGGGCTGGATGAATACATACATTGCGTTTCACATTTGAATTTCGCAAAGATCGTGCTAATAGTTTCTGTTTTTAATTAAAGGTTATACAAAAGCTGTATTGAAATTACTTAGTTCAGATGAACTTGTTCGACAATATATGCTTCAAGTTGCTTTGTATATTGCTGCTCATTATGGAAATGTTGATTTAGTAAATTTTGTTTTATTATTTTTGTTAATAATTCGTTTTGTTTTTAAATATTTACTTCAGGCTCGAGCTTTACTTCAATTAGGAGCACGAGCTGATCGTCCAGTTGGTCATCATCCATCTCGTCAATGGTGTTCATCTGATTGTCTTCATCCTGAATATTTTCGTTGTCCAATACATGAAGCTATTATGTTTCAACAAGTTGGTATTGTTCTTTTATGTGGTAGTCGTGATGTTGATATATTTCAAAAAGCTGATGGCTATGGTATAAAACCATGGCGATTAGCTTTACGTCAACAACGTAGTATAAAACAACGTGAAATAGCATTATTTATTTTATCGAAACAATTTGGTGGTATTCAATTACCAAATAAGATAACATTACCTCTTCGTCATGCTTATGTATTTAAACAATGGGCAGAAAGAGCACGTGAACGTGTATATAATAAAAATGGTCTACAATATAGTTCATTAAAACGTAAACCTTTAATTAATAATGGTGAATCATTATTAGGTTATAAAATATTAGTTGATGGACATAATAATGATTTTCAAGATTATTATTCAACAGCTGAATATGCAAAAGAAAAAACACGTCAAGTATGTATTACACTTGATGAAAGAGAAAAAAATAAAGTGAAAAATACAGAAAATTATATGAAAAAGTATGTTTTAGTTTACAAAAAAAAATTTAATTTTCTTTTTTGATCTTTTTTCTTTTCTTTTCATAAGTTTTATTGCATCTACTTCAACACAAACAAAACTTGCATCAATAAATCCAACAACAACTCAACAAATAAAAGATGCAACATCATTAGATATTACTTCGCATTCAGAAGGAATTAGTACAGGAAAAAAATTATGGGCTAAAGTACGTTTGATATGAAACAGACGTTTTGTTTTGAATATTTTATTTTATTAGGTTGCAAATTTATATCGTTTCGAAACATTTCTTCTTCGAAATGCAATTGATCTTATTGACGCAGGTCTTCTTACAGATGAATCATTACCATCTCCAAGTCGACATGTATGTTACAATAAATACTTTACTTTATTGATTAGATAGTTTCTGTAGAAAATAGCGAATAGTAGAACATATCATATTCGAGTTTTATAGTATGATGACAAAATAATTACGTAATGAATTGCTATACTATCAGTATGTCTGTTAGGTTCATTTCTTATATTGAAATGATTAATGTGGACATTGACGATGGATATTAAAAATATTTAACTCAAACGTTCAATTCTTCTGTATTCTTCGTAATATTCTAGAATCTAATGACAATATGATCAGCCTAACTAGACCAACGACATTAATTTCAACAACTCATTTAATATGAGCCAATCTGTCTGAACAGTTCTTATGATCTGAGTTGAATTGTTCAAATAAATCAGTTCCATTCAAAGACTTCAAGAAAATAACAATTTTTTTTTTAAATAAAGTTTAATCAAAGGTCTTGAGAGCCGAGGAAACTTGACCAAAAAATTAAGTGTATAGCTTCGAGAAACTGTCTACAGACTCGGATTCCTTGATCTCGAAAGTTTTTCAATCAAGCTTTATAAAAGATCGTGCGTTTCTTCCAATAGCTATTCGTGAAAAAAAGTATCAACTCCACAAATTTTTCGTTACTCGATAACTGATAACGAACACCTTACCTGTCAATTGGTAATCTAACGGCGAATTTTCTCATCTGGATAACTCCCAAAAAGCCACAGAGACATCCTTAAGTAGCTCTTGAAAAGTTATAGGAGGCACGCCCTTAATAATCCTTGAAAACTTATACATATGTTATTATCCTCAGTGTGATCAATTCCTATCAGAGAACATTTCGAATAGTTCATTAGATTAGAAACTTTTACCTAACTGTTCTACCTCAACGTCTAACTCATCTTCCTACATGTGAAAAAGACATTATATTTGTCGTAGTCTTCTCACTAGTTTAATTTAGAGTTATCAATATTTCTTTATATATTATTTTATAGAACGCTCATGGAGCAATCAACACAACAATTAGTCGTTTATCATCATCGCTTTCATCAATTTCATCAGTAAATCCAAATGTTCCAGTTCGTATTCGTTTATTTGTTGAACGATTTCGTCTACTAAGAGAAATGATGTATAAACCAGATAAAGATGGTCGAACATTACGTCATTTAAGTGGTGTTGAATGGGCTAGAGTACGACGTGGTCTAAATAATCACTGGCAAACTCTACGAGCTAGTACAGCATTAACTGCCAAAAAGAAACAAAAAGAACTTAAAATAAAAGCAAAAAAAAAACAATTAACTATTCAATTACCTGATATTCAACGAGGAGAATCATCAGCAAAAATTCCTCTACCTAGAGAACGTCCAAAAATTGATTATCGTTGTATATTACGTGGTAATGATAAACTTTATCATGAAATAATGAATGATTGGGAAAGAGCAGCTGGTTTAGCATTACCATCATTAGCCGTACAAAGTTTAACTGAAGCAAGTAAATTTCAACGAAAATCATGGATGCGTAAAGTTGATATAGCTATTCAATTTGCAACGAATCGTAGTCAACGAGTATTTCAATCAGTTACTTAATGAATGATATAAAAGTTCTGTATTAATTTTGTTTTCAGTATAGTGTGACAACAACTTGTCATGGAGATTCGATAATTTTCTTGTTAGAAAAAGTAAAATCTCTAGTAGAAAGCTGTGTAAAAATATTTCCCGTAAAATACTTATCAAAGTCTGAAAAGTTTTAAGAACATATTTAATTGAAAAATCTCTATGTGTACTTCTTGAATTTTTGACCGAAAAATGGTATGAACTTGGAAGTTGAAATCCAGTTGTCGGCTCTGTTCGGTTATGGCCAATTCCTGCCGGATCTGAATAAACTCGGTTATCGGATCCAGTCATCGGATTTCTGCTTTCATGTTCCTACCATTGTCTAGAATCGAACATACCTCATTGATCTGGGTAGGTAAAAAAAAGTTTTCAAGTCATCGATTAAGTTTGGAATCGACATTTTCTAATGTTCTTTGGTAGTGGAAAGTGTCTACAACTAATAAGTGATTTAGAAAAGTAAGATTTGAAGTTCGTGAAATCCTATATTTTATATCCAATTAGAGTTTTGTGAATCAACTACAAAAACACATTATATAAAAAACAGACTATTAGAAAAATTTGATTGGGCATTGTCGAACGAAAATCAAATTTTGAATAAAACTGTTTCCTATGAAACCTGTGATTTTGTAAGTTGAATAGGTTGATACCATTAGAAATTACATTGGTTACATTTACATATAATTTCCGTGAAAATTTCGAAGGTTGAGTGCAAGATCAAATACACTTCTTATCAGTGATGCATGGTACTTTTCAGCTTTCGATAAGTATTTTGAACGAAATATTTTTATACATCTTTGTAGTAGAGATTTTGCTCTTTCTAACAAGAAATGATTATATTTTATAAATTTTTTTAAATAAATATATCAATATTTTGATCAAAATTGAGTTTTGATCTCAACTGTTTTTTTCGAGTCAAGTTTGTACTTGTTCAAACTCGAATCTTAGATTGGATGCTGACATATATATATACGTACATAAGTGAATTGCAGTTTTATTGAACGGTTTTGAGAGAACAACAACCGAAAAAAAATTCAATTTGAAAACTGATGAGTAGTGCATTTGATTGCACTATAATGAGAGGAGAAAAAGAATAAATTTTCTTAACTACCACTATAACTATGGCTGAGATATACGAGAATTATTCAAAATCCATAAAAAATGCTTGAATACGATTGTTTTGTTTATATATCGAAAATTTTCCGAAATACGAGAGTTCTACTAAACAAATTCAAAATACTTGAGATTTTATGTAGCAAGAAGTTTGTTTGTATGGCACAAAACATGTTTCAGAGTCAAAGTTTGATAAGTTTCCACTACATGAGTTTAACAATTTGTTTTATGCTATATATTCATGATGTGATGTTATTTGCACTATATAACTACCATTATGGGTTCTGCGTTAATTTACATGTACTCTGTAGCAGATGAGAGGATGTGCGTAATTTGAAGAATTACCTTTATTTTGATCTCAGCTGTAAAGTATTATATATCTCGTCATCTCGCGTGATACACTGATACTAATTTTTCTTTTTTACATAAACAATAAGTTTTCTGACGCAGACATTTCTTATGATGGTTAATCACAATGAATCGATAAAAGTTTCATCTAAAATTACTATATTTTAAGAGAGTTATACATGAGACAAAATGAAAAGTCTCGCGTGACAATTCAATTTTCAAGTCTTCTTTCATAGTTTTTATAAACAAGGAGTAATACAATTTTCTCATCTGTTCTAACGGTTTTATTTTCCATCTGATGACTTTTCTTCCGACCATATCTAGACAGATTGTTCAATCCCAGGATTAGTTTTAATCCCACGTAACAGAAAGTCAAAGAATGACTACACATCTGATATTCAGAGAAAAATATAATAAAAATTGCGATGAAAGATTCAATCCATCTTATATTCAAAAAGCATAGATTGTTTACTATGAATTCGTCAATTTCTGAAGTTCAAATGACAGGAGAACAACTCGGCTAGATTACATTTTTTATCAAAAGATGGTCGTAAAAATTATTCTTTCGAATCTTGTTCATATAGATTTCGATATCTGTTTGAGATAAAATTGTGAAGATCGATTGAGAAGAATTCGAGATATTAAACTTTTATACTTAAGAATATAATCATACAATAAAGTTATATCGAATGAAGCATAATGATTGCAACATCTAGTATTTTGCAAATATCTCAGCATAGATAAATCGCATACTCTTGATCCTTTTTTTTTTAAAAGATGAACTATGAAATTCTCTACAAGTTTTTTATAAGACTAAAAATGAAGCACTGTATAATGATGAAACATCTCATTATCCTGAGAGAAGCAAAAAATGAAAATACCATTGATTATTCTGCATAGTATATCATGATAAATTGTTACTATTTTATCAGACTAACAGTAACCGGTTATTTGATCATCAAAATTGGTGTCTACAACAAGATAGAGTAATATTATATACTGATGAAAGATCCAAAGAATGGTACAAAAAGAACTTCAAATTATTTATACCTAAAGATGGATAGTCTGCTTACTCACCAGACTTGAGTCCATTGGATTATTCCATCTTGGATAGTATCAATAAAAACATTGATTATCACAAGGTTAAAACACGAGAAGATTTAAAGAAATAAATAAAAAGAACATGTCAAAAAATTGATCTCAGTTATGTTTGCAATGTGATCGGTTCTTTTCTACAAAGAGTTCGTGCAGTTGAACAATATAATAGCGATCATATTTTTCATGAACATTTATGATTGTTATATTATTTTATTTCAATTATTTTTCGAAAGCAAATGATAATATCAGGAAAATTTTTTTTTTTTTGAAATAAGAAGAAAGTTATTTATTAATCTCATTTTCATTTTTACTTCTCTCAGAATAATGGAACATTTCACCATCACATAGTGTTTCACCATTAACCTTATTTAAAAACATCATCTAATTAACTCATTAGAATTTCTCATTATCATTCTTGTAGAGAACTTCACGGCGCATCGTTTAAAAAAAAGATTAAAAGTTTACGATTAGTTTGTGCTGAGATATTTGTCAAATACTAGATGTTGCAATCATTATACCTCACCTGATACACATATATAAATATCTTCATTGACTCATGTTTATTATTGTTATTATCGCTTCGTTGATCATAATCACATATAATGCTAATTACCATTACTATAAACATGCCTTTTTTTATTATCAATTTGAGCTCTATATACATCACACAATAATTTTATTTGTTAATAGTAAATCATTATCCGAAACATTAGCGATTCAGATTTTTATAATATTTTCTATTATATTATTTATTACTAAAAGATTTGGGGATTTGATATTGATTGTATCGCTAAATTTAGATGATGGTAATTGTCAAATCGAAATTTCAACTTGGATTTTTGATCATGAATATATCTATTTAGTGACAAATATTAGTTTCATAGGAATTTATTTTCCCAAATAGAAATGGTCAAAAAGTTTAACGAATCATAATAGAAGACTCAACATTTTCTAATACGAAGATTCAGACAGTACTAACTATCACCAATATTCTCTCTTTCATGTTTGTTGTTTTTTTGATTTTTGTTATTCTTAGTCATGCTTATATTATTTGATTATTACAATTCGTTTTTCGTTAGTTACAATATTTCATTCATTGTTCACTCTTTATGACACAAAACTTTGCTTCATTGTAACGCCTTCTTTATGACTATGTGATTCATTCTACTCACTCTTGTTTACATTCCTCGTATTCTTTTTCTTTCCTATCATTTCTTACGTTGATTGTCATAGTTATTTCTTTGTACATTATTTATTCAATAAATTGTTATGTATTTATTCACTTGCAATCCATTTTCATCAACTGCTATCGTACAATAACCCTTGTCATTTGTATCTAGTTACATGTTGAGACAATATTCTAAATAAAAATTTTGATTAATCCATTCATTTTACGACAAAAAAAATTTTTTTTTTTGTATTTTATTTTAAAATAAACTGAATCAAACAAAACAAAAAAAAATATATAAATAACTTAATCATTTTATTGTCTTGCTTACAAAAAAATGAAAAATTCGTAAACAAAATATTACATTAATATTTATAAAAAAAAAAAAGAAACACTGTCTTGCATGAATATAATAGTAACTGAGACTTATTAATTTGTTATATTATCATTATCGGCTGTCGTTGTCGATGGTAAGGTTTGTGCTTGTCGTCGAATAGCCCAACATTGTGGTTGACGATAAGCTGTTCCACCTACTCGAACATTAGTTACTGTACCAAAACGTAATAATTCTTTATGATATTTAATAAAATTATTTAATTTTCTTGCATCACCAAATGGTAATTGTAGACGTGTTAAATGTTCTCGAATGTCTGATGTTGCCATACCCGTTTGTAAACATTTAAATATTTCATCTTTAGTTGCATCTGTTATGCTAACTGGAATACGATCTTTAGGTATATGTTGATGTTGTCCACATGAATAAATTGATATACTTCCTTCGGGATGAAAAAGTGCATACATTGCTGCTGGACATGGATGATAATGACGACGCATAGAAAAATTACATACATAATATACTTTATAACCACGTGAATTTGCTGATGTTCGACGCCATGTCCAACGTGAACCAGATTCGGCTGAAGATGTTTCAATAAAAGCATTCAATGATTGTTGATCAGGTAATTGAACTAGAAAATTATATTGACGACGACTTAAACGAGTATTTTTCAATCCATTTGCTGATGAAGCTTCATCATCATTTATTTGTGGTGACAAAGATTGATCACCATCTATTATTTATTATAATAGAAAAATTTTTTTCAATCAAATAAATTATGATTTACCTATAGATGCTTGATAATTTATTGTTAATGGTGGTTGTTCACTAGTTGAACTACTACGTCGTCGTATTTCTGATTCTTGTTGATGAAAATGATGAAGATGATGATGATGAGTTGGAGATGATGATAATGATGATGGTTCAATTATAAGTGGACTATAAGATGACTAATATTTAAAGAAAGATTAATTTTTATTTTAAATTATTATTAAACAACATACTGAAGTTTGATTTTTGATTGTTGAGTTATAGAAAGCATTTTGATAATATTCATGTGTAGCTGGAATTATTGAATGAGATGTTTGATTAGGTAAAAATGATGGATGAATTTCCATAAGATGAGATTTTCTTAATGGATATGAATTGATATTTTCTGTTCTTGATAGTGATGCTAATTGTTTTTTAGTCTAAAAATAAAATAAAAAAAAACAACAAAATAATTCTTTTAAAAATCAATATAAATTAAACTTACACGAGGTTTATTTCTAGAGGCATTTGTTATTTCTTGATTAATATCATTTGTTTGATGAGATACTTTTAATATATGTTTTTTATTATGGATATGTTGTGAATTTGGCAGATCATAAGAAGTATTTGCAAGAACTGTTTCAGATACAGAAATTGGTGATTGTTCAATTGGTATTTTTATGTCTGTTGGTACCTGTTCAATATCAAGTTCTTCTTTAATTGTTATTGTAATATTATCATCAGTAGCAATTGTTGGAAGTGGAGAAGATGAAATATTTTCATTAGTTGTTGAAAGAGTTGAATGTGAATAACGAGCTCGATTTAAACGTTTTGTTTTATACCAAGTATGACGAATTTTTTTTGTTAATTCTTCAGCATCTTTATGTAATAAATAAACTCGTTGTAAATCTTGACAACATTTTGGACAAATCATTTGTAATTTATCCGATTCATATGCACCATTTAAATATCGTTGACAACATTCATTATAAGTTATATTTTTATCTAAATTATCATGAATTGATTTACCCGTTAATAAATATCGATGACTTGTTGAAGTTTTAAGTAATGAATCACATAATGAACAACGTACACGTTGTTTATTGATACAATTTGATATCTTATTTGTTGATAATTGTCGAACTGATTTTGGATATACTAAAATATCAATGTGTAATTTTAAAAATAAAATAAAATTTCATTAACTTACATTGTTTATATTTCATTTTGAATATAGTTAATAGTAGGATAAATTCAAATCTAAAGAAATGAGTAAAAAAGACAAATGAAAACAATCTTTTTCTTATTCACTATTTAATATTGTTATTTAACAAAAAGTTTCGAAGGTATTCACCTTATCTTTTATTTAGTGGGTAACGAAAAAAGCGTCATACGCAGAGATGTTTTTTTTTTTTTATATACTATTTTCTTGTGTAATACTGTTGTTCGTGTCGTTGTGGGAGCAATCTTCTCCTCTTCCTGTTCTTTTTGTCCTCATATCAAATGCAAACATAGTGACCACGTTGAGTGCGAATTTTGCTGTTTTTTTTCGTATTCATCATTGCATCAGTACAACGAAAGGAAAGAATAAAACTTACTCTACGTATCCAAGAGTTTTGAATGACGCTTAACAACATATATTTTTCATGTTGGGAGACATACTGATAAAAAAAAGAAAAAAAATTATTTTATTCTCTTGTTTTATTTTTAGCTCTATAAGGCTTTGCCTAAATATTGAAAAAGACGAATATATATATATATATATATATATATATATTTTTTTTCCTCCTTTATTGTGTATATTGATTCAGTGGGATATGTTGTTTGTCACATTTTTCGTTTTTCTTTTTTTTCGTTTTAAAGACAAAACGAATCATTCTCTTTCTTCCTATAAAGAAAAAGAAAAGACTGAATTACTAGAGAGTAAGTGAGATTTGTTTGTTAGGGAATTGCGTCGTCGCATAGTTGAATCATATTTAAAGCAAATATAATTATATTTGCTTTGTTGACATCATTTCTTTTTTTTTCCAACTTGTTATTTCGTTTTTTTTTTATAGGCTACTCAATTGAATGCGGGGAAAAAAAGAAAACTTATTTCGTTTTCGGTAAAAGTTCGTTTTCTAAATGTAAAAGTAATAAAAATATTTAGGAAAGAAATTCCAAGGAAGATGAAAATACATTGAAACGGAAATTTCAAACAAACTTTTAGGTATCTTTTTAAGTGGTTAATTTGATTGTAAGAAGACTGAAAAATCTGTGAAAAGAAAAAAAAACTTATAAAGTTTATCACAAATACTGAGAAATTCTAAACAACAAACGTAATTCACACTTTTTTGTTAGAGTAATCTATAGATAGACGTTATCAACGAGTCATGAGAGAGAGAGCGAGAGAGGAAGAATACGTCTCTTTGCTTTTTTTAAAAATAATATTCATTGTCTTTATTTTGTGTTGTCATACACAGATGCTTGCGTATTCTTTTCTCTTTCTCACAATATCATTTGGGTATATATTTTGAATATGTCAATTCTCTAATATAGACATAACCTTTATGCTTCTGTTAGAAAATTGGATTTTTTTTTCACAATGACAAAACAGTTTGAATCTCTCATTGATAAATGGTTTTTGATTGATGAGTTTAAAATTGAGAAAAACATCTTTAATGATATTCTTCAATAATCTTCAATATTTGATAAATTTTTAAAATTATTATTAAAAATTGATCTAATAATGACATCTATTTAGAGGCATGCATGAGACTCCGATAAAATTGGAGTTGATAAAAATTATAGAAACTTCAGTTATATCTTGTGGATTATTTTTAATAATACTAATTTAACAGAATCATTTTCTTTTCTTATTAAATTTAGAATTTTTTCGCGTGACAAGATCTTGTCAGTTATTTCAAGTATCTTGGATACACAAAAAAATATTAAAAATTTAATCAATTCTAAGTTTTCTGCCTAACATCTAATATAACTACACGGAATTTCAATAGTTCGTGAGAAAAGTAAATCCAAATAACTCCACTATTTATCAAACTTAATCAACTAACTTCTTTTTTTTCAAATGAGAGGTATCATTGTGAAGATTTTTTTTTTTTATACAGAAAAACTTCATACCTACTATTCAAAGTTATTATTTTCAACGGAAAAACAAAAAGCAGTTGTTTTTCAATATCCAAAAATAGATCACTACGCAGTGTGATTTTTTTTAGTACTGTAATTTCTTATATTTTTTGTGGCGTTTAGATCGGACAGAGTTTGCATTAGGCTTCTTTTTTTAGTGGCATATCAAAACAAATGCATAGGAACAATAACACAAGATCTGACCAATCTAAGTGCAAAAAATTGACGCATTAAAAGAGAAACATTGCATAGCGGTTTCTTTTGTAAATCGAAAAACAATGGCTTTTGTTTTTTCAGTCGAAAGTAATAACCTTGAGTAGTATTTGTGAAGTTTATCCATATCCAAAAAAAATACTTCACAGTAATACCTACCATTGAGAAAAATTAGTTGATAATGTTTCATAAATAGTATCGTTATTCGAATGTACTTTCACGGACATTTAGAACAACCTATATTTATTTGGTTACAATACACTCACAATCAGTTATGATTCATAACGGTATACTAATCTTAAATCACATAATATCCGTGAATATGTCAGCTGTCGCTAATTTACGGGAAGACAAATATTCGGATTTGAAATTAAAAAACGTATGACTGTGCAGATGTCTACATGCATTACATATGAATAAGAGAATTCAGATGAGGATAGTCCGACACAAGAAATATAGTTCTTAAATGATCTTATTCATAACATTTGCGATGATTCATAAAAATCAGTCTTTTTTAAATAAACAATGCAAACAAGGCTGATGATTTTTAATTGACTTATAAAACTTTAAAAAGTCACATTTAACAATTTTCAATAAGCTCATACATTGTTAGGTGTCAAATCAAGTAATATTGTGAAAAAAATTTCATGATTACATCCAATAAAAATAATTATTATGCATAATTGTATTCAGCAGCATTGATCTTTTATTATAATAAATAGACCTACACGATTGAATGTATGTGTGTGTAAGAATTTCGCTACTTTGTAAACTTTCTTGTTGTTGGTTTGTTAATTCTTCAAATGCATCATAGCAATGATGATTCATAGAAAGCTTCAATCTTTTTCAATATAAGGTGTTGATGATGCAACATTTGAGCGAATTATTTTTTTTTTGTTTATTTATACGTGATTTAATAAAATCTACCGAACGAGTTATAAATGTCTATCTTCATTTCCATCATGTCACTTTCTCGCTGAGAAATAGCTCAAGAAATCAAATAGGGATCAGATATATGAACAAAAATCAATTTTTGTCGTACAAAATCTCAAGTTTATTCGCTTTGATTTTATATTAATCAAGTAAAAAAATTTCGTCTCTGATATATAGTTTCAGAATATTAGTTTATAGAGACTTTTGTAATCATCTCTAATTATTTCTTGAGAACAGATACAACCATATGTTTTGTTTTATCGAAATCTCAAGCTAGAAAAGTACTTTTTTTTTTAAAGTTTTTTTTATCATTGAGAAAAATTAAGTTTTTTCGCATCATCATGACAAAAGGGTCAAAAACGACCTTATGTTTAGTGGATTTTATTATCATAGTTCAGTTTAAAAGCAATATAAATTGTAAAACCGAAGTCAGCATGCAAAACTACATCGGCTCACATATTATTGAGCAAAATCAACCCTATAGAAACCACAGGCAGAATTTTCGAAAAAGAATGCTCAAGAGACAATAACGAAAAGCACGTTTCTTATAGAAAATAATTTTTTTCTGAAAAATCTGTAAACCGACGTAGTTTTGTACGCTGACTCTGATTGAGCTATGATAATAAAAACTGTTAAATAAAAGACTATTTTTTACCCATTTGTTACTAAACTAAGAAAATGTTCAAATTTTCAATAATCAAAGAAAACCTAAATCACTACTTTTCTAGCTCGAGACTTCAATGAGATTAAACAATTGGTCCTATTTTTTTCACAAAAAAAAACTATTAGATATGTTTACTCAAGTGCCTTTAACAGAAGTTACAGTGATTCATGTCTCAAAACTAGGAAAATGTATTCTGGTATTGCAATTCAGAATCAAATCTGCATATAAGTGAATCAAGTAATGATTAATTGTTAGAATTAATACATATTTTATTTAGACTAATAACATCGAAATTGATCAAGGAAGCATAAAATGTAAAGCAACATTATTTTTCTTTTGATGCAAACTTCGAAAATTTTTTTTTGGTTATGTTTTTCTTTAATTCTTTGTTGATTTATTCTACTCTTCCTAGCCTTCATATAAATATATATATGTATATAAAGCAACCATTTTTGCAAGTTATTTGCATTAACAAAATGCGCTTCTTTCATGAGTCATTTTCAAAATATTGAAAAAGACGGATTTTGTGACTCATTGCGAAACAAATTCTTGTTGAAGAACGTGAGATCATAATAAGATACACGAAATTCAATGGATAAATGACACAAAGATTTTGCAAGAAGAATTGACTAAAGCAAATAAAATGTCGAAGGAAATAAGTTTTATACTAGTGACAACATTGAGTCATAAAGAACTGATGATGTTGGTAAAGTTGAAATAATTATATTGGCTATCGATGCAAAATTAACTCATTTGAAAATTTAATTAATTGAAAATAATGAAAATTCGAACTGATTATGAAAAAAGAAAGAATGATTGAAGTAAATATAATAGAATTATTTACCTCATCGTCGAATCTCATTCTATATTTGATATCAATTGATCACAACTATTTAATTTGATTGAATTATACGAAAAGGATTAATTTTGAAATGTGCTAAACATTTCTTTCGCTAGAATTATCTTTATTTGATACCATTTTGTCAATGTTTTGTTATTCGAAAATATATCCCTATTAAAAGTCTTCGTTTCGACGATTTTTTTTATCAATGATCACCCTTTTCGTTCTTTCTTTGTATATATATAGATACACAGATATTGCAGATATCATCTCAGATTGTCATTGATAGTTTCGATTATTAGAATGGTAGATCGGCGAAATGATCTATGGAGGAAAGTTACATCAGGGTTATTCTTTCGAGAATGTACCACAATTACATCGATTTTCTTCAAATCGAATGAAACTTTCTGAGTTTGTAGAATTTGTAAATATAAGCATAGCTGGAGATT